GACAAAATTAGAAAGTAATACAGGTTTGGAATGACATGAGAATGAGTAAATAATGAAGAATTTTTTAGATGAACTATCCTCTTTAGTTTTGCAGAAAGTGTTGTTTCTAACTGATGCCTTGGTGTATTGATTCAGTCATAATGTGTGTCAAACTGAAAATACTGTAATGTGTATAAAGTAGCTTTGACTTTTTTCCTTTAACATCTAATGTAGAAGGGGTCAGGTCACTAAAAGAGAGGGGCTCTTTTGCTCCAGTATAAGATATAAACAAATATAATCACCATAAAGAGGAAGCACAGACTTTCTATGGCAGATGGGGTTAAGTGCCTTAAAGAGGATATGGACACTGGCCTTCTCATTATTGGTGTGGTCTAGTTCCCAAAAAGCTTATGTTCTCGACAATTGGACAAGACAAACATTGGGCTCATGGGTACCTCTCGATGCTGCTGAAGGTGTATTGATTTCCCTGCTTGGTCTCAATCTCAAAATCAAAGGAGCGGGTGGTGGTGGTACCACGAGCAAAATTCACGCAGGAGATCTCCTCAAAGCGCAGGTGCACTGGGGGCTTGTGCACATAGATGAAACCTCTTTCCAGAGGATACAACAGCCCTGAACTGGCCTTATATGAACATGTTATACACTGAGCACCTGAGTGACTATAGAGAAGAGAGGGAGAGAAAAAGACATTGAGGTGTTTTCACAAAAATACAGACTTAAGATATTAATGTTTGCTCTACTGCTTAATCCCAGAATATGTACTAATGTCCAAAACTTTTTTAAAGGATTTCATACTTTTACAAGGATGCATTAAATCGATCAAATGTGAAAGCAAAGACATTTACATTGTTACAAAAAAATCGATTTCAAATAAATGCCTTCCTATTCATCAAAGAATACTGAAAAAAAATAAAAAATATTAAGCAGCACAACTGTTTTGAAAATTGAGAATAATGAGAAATGTTTCTTGCGCATGAAAGCAGCATATTAGAATGATTTCTGAAGGATTATGCAACACTGAAGACTGCTGAAAATTCAGCTTTGCCATCACAGGAATAAATGACATTTTAAAACATATTCAAATGAAAAAAACTGAAACATTAAATATAACTGACCCCAAACTTTTGAACAGTAGTGTATATGAATCTTTTTTTTTTAATTACTGTTAAAAAATAAATCAGTAAGATTTGCTGCAATGGCAGTGTATCAGACATTTTGATGTATATTTTATTATATTTATGTATTTTTATACTCTTTAATGTTTAAAAACATAATATTAGCAATATGTAAAAGTATAAAGTATATTGTTTAGCTTAAAATAAATTAAATAAGGTATTTTATACTTGTCACTTATAAAAAATATTTTTGCAATTGTTTAAAAAAAAAAAATCTTTTTTTTTTTATATACTTTTCTTTTCCAGTCTTTTAACGCAACTTTTTTTGCAATGTATATATGTTTTACCCTTGGAAATTTCCAGGCACTGTGATCTTCCTGTTGACCAGGGCCTTCATGACTCTGCTGACCATCTCATAGAGAAAGCCAGACATGTTTTTATGAAGTTTCCCTTCAAAACGTCTCTCCACCTCATCCCTGCAGAATATAAGAGAGAAAAATGGTATTGCTGGATGGCAACACACTTTGAGGAATGAGTGTAAATGATGGCATAACTTTTATTTTTGAGTAACAATTTTGATTGTCCCTGTAATAAGTATACTGAAAGTTGCTTAGGATAGATGCATCTGCTAAATAATTTCTTGCTCTAAATTAGTTTCATCAACCTTGCTGAAGTCAAAGAAAGAGCTTCAGGGAGAGTCTTTTTTGGGGTGACATATAGTAACACTTCACAGAATATAGCTTAACATAACTGCACCTACAAAATTCATTTTTGGTATCTGCTTTTAGTCTTGGCAGCAAATGTAAACAGTTTATTTCTGACATCCAGCTCATCCTTCACTGGTGTCCCTCATTCTCTGTCTCTCTCACTTTAACTCACTCGTTCATGTTGAGAGTGAGATTGATTTCCTCTTCCTTGGAAAACAGAAGAATGAGAAAATGATAGCGGGTTTGACCTTGTTTAATGGGCGGGTCCAGACTGATCTGAAACAGACAAGAGGTCACAAATATTAACATTAACATAGACGTCTTATATCAGCACAATTCTCAAATTTAGTACACATCAAAAACAGATAAATGGAATAGACAAAGCCCATTAATACTAGCCCTAAAGATGGATCCAGATAAAAAGAAGAGATAGTTTCACAGACTATGATGCCGTACTCACCACAAAGAACATCTGCCGCTGGTCCTTATGAGGCAACAGGAAAAGGCGGAGCACTGTGGTGTATGGGATCTTGTAGTCAAAAGTCTTACCATGCAGATGGAGGAAAGTCGGATAAATACGAATATCGTACCTACAGAGAGTAAAAACCATTAAACGTGGCTAGTTCACACAATATTCTAAGCATAAAACAAAAAGGTGTGATGTTATGTGTTTGTATGTGTACCTGCCCCTAGGTGTGAGGCACTGTAACTCTCTGAAGATACACACAGCATCTCCTGTAGCCTGGATGACATCTGCCTTTGACAGAATGTTCTGAGCAAATGCCTAAAACAGCAGAGAAGAGTACTGTGAGCTCATTATTTTTCAGTTTTAGTGGACTTTACGGATGCAAAGTTTTTACTTTAGGGCTCGAACTGGTGTCTGTGCAAAAGTTTAGAGAAAAACTGCACAAAAAGTTTAAAGATAAATAAAAAAATAAGATTAAACTGAACAAGCAAATAAAAAATAAGTTGATTAAAATAATATTATAAATAAATAATGAATAAATATTTAAATAAATGATACATCTAGCGGTGCAGTACTATAAAAAGCAACATGACAAAAAAAACTAAGTATTTTCTAAATAATATTTTACTTTATTTTTAAAATTAAATTAAGTTAAATTGGGTTTTTACACTAAATTGTATAGCTTAATTTCAGGATGGGTGTCCCTTGCATGAGGATGATCATATTTGGGGACATCTAAAAGATTGAAAGCCCATGCTTTATAGGCATGTAATTATTATTACATTGCAAACTGTGCCATCTGTTGGTCACTGTCAGGTAGTGGCACACACACAAGCATGCACACTTACCTCCACAGGGTCTGAACCCTCATCTCCTGTGGTGGGTGGGACGTAGAAGCGCACCTCCATGAGGGATACCTCTGTGTCATCATTCTGATGAAACTCCACAGTGACCTCATTCTTTCCCGTCGCACACTGGGATACACTGGCGAGCGGAATCTCAAATGCAGAACTTTCATTCACCTCAAATGAAAGCAACGGCCCTGAAAAGCCACAGAAGGGCAAAACTTGGATATGGCAGTGAAAATACATTTTCAGGCTAAGTTTATCAAAATGCAAAGCTGTTTAGTTATTAACAGTCTCCTATTGTTTCTATTAACTATTATGCATTGATTTATTATTTCTAGTGGTCGACCAATATAGTTTATTAATGGCAGATGGCGATGTGCGCTCAGTAATCTTGTAAGTCTGTGTGCACTGGGAATTTTTTTTTTTTTTAATAAATAAAAACCAGGTTGTTCTAACTTTACATACAGTACACGGTAAATATGACATAGTACAGTGATGTTGATAATTAAAAAATGCCAAATACTGGCAGATACATAGCGATATATCGCTCAACCACTATTTCTATTATTACTTATACAGTGTCAAAAGTCCTCTTCTAATACTGTACTATTCATCCTACAGACCATAGAAACTTAAAATAAGGGCACTATAAAAATGTTTTATTGTACATGTCTCAGAAATGGTGTTGCATCAGGAATGCACTGACCATTAAATTTAGCAGTGCCCCAATTCCAGCCCTTCACACACATATCTTTCTCAATCAGCTCCACTTTGTAGTTGGCTTTGAAGTACTCTGAGATCTTCTCAAGGTCCTGTGCATAAAGAGATGATGGAAAATTTAAGACATGGAAGGAAACAGTGGAAGGTGGAGCAAATTGATCTATTTTTATTGAATGTATTTTGTATCTCTGACGCACAGTGTCTTTGAAGCCATCATATTTGTAGATGTTTCCAGTGCTGGTGCACAGTTTGATGCCGTGACCCAGACAGACTCTCCTCCACTGGGCTTGAGTGAGTTCGGGCACCGGAATGCTGTCCACCTTCCCAGTCTTACTGTTTTTATACACCACTGTCTGCTTACTGAAGCGAAGACGCCCATCATTCTGTAGAGAGAGATCAGTCAGACATTTTCTAGAATAACATCTCAGAATAGACACCAGACTGTTGCAGCGTGTACTCACCCAGGTGCCCTTAACCTCCTGATAAATTTCATTGAATTCCAGAGTGTCATTCATGTCAGCCACTCCAGCTTAGACAAGAGTGGACCTGTGACGTTCAAAAGCTGCGACAGCAGAGGTAAAATCATAAATATACAGTATTCAAATAGATTTTTGTTTTCTCTACATGTGGCATTATGAATTCGGTTACATTTCAAGAGAATTGATAGAAATCTCCTAATTGGCATTGAGGCGGCACACTTTATTGCAGGTTGATTTGGATGTCATTTAGCTTTGTGCTATAAAATAAGTCTTTACGAATCTACATATCTTGTAGAGGCACTTCAAATGGTTTTCTAAATCTAAACAAATAAATGGAGCTAGCGAAGCTACCATATTCGTGCATCCAATAGCGGCTAGTGTTTTTCTGTTTGTGACGAACGACACATTTTAAATTGACAGAAAATTTCTAACAGGACTAGTTTATTTCGAACAATTTTATTGCATAGAAAATGAAATATGTGAGATATTTGAATCAGTATTACTGTTATTCGGCGAGAGGATCAAGGCCGAGTCCCGTGTGCGTAGATTTGCGGAGCGCAGCGCTCAATAGCGCGTTCGTCATGACGCCATCACGCTCTGTGCGTAGCCCCGCCCTTCCTATTGAACGTCCGTCTGTTTTGTAAACGATCGAACCTCAAAGCGAAAGTTGAAAGGTTTTATTGATGAAGACTGCTGTCAGCATTCGCAAATAATTTTTATCGTCCGACAACATTCTAGCAGCATTCAGGTATGCCGTGAATTTCATATATATGTAAGGGGTTTAGTCGGACGCAGTGTTGTTCGATCGATTGATCGATCAATAAATGACAAATGATGTCGTTTATAATCATAATAATAAAAAAAACTATGTATTTACCACATACTTGATGAAGGAGGTGAAGATGAATGATGAAGAGTCATCGACTTAGCCTCATGTTGGAAACCTGTATGACTTCAGTTAGGCTAGCTACTTTAGTTAACATGAACTAACATTGAAAAAATAAATAAAGTGTTACTCACTGTCCTTTAATTTTAGATATGACACCAAAGCGTGGTCTCATAACCGACACCTTCAAGATTGTAAAGAAGGCAAGGAGAGGGGGCAAGAGAGACAAGTCTCCTTCACCGCCAATAGCAGGTGGGATAGTATGTTTGTCTTTGTGTATGTGCATATTTCAGTGAAATCAGAGATCTGAAATATGTCATCATATTCCTAAACTGTGCAAATTATTTAAAGGAGCATTTAAAAAATGCACCAGTGATGCAGCAGCATTTATAACAATGTAATGACTTATCAGAGCCTGAGCCCCCACAACTGAGTGAAAGAGAAAAAGATCTTCAAGAATTGAAGAAATTTGATCTGGACTGGAAATTCGGACCATGCACAGGTGCGTCATTAATTGTATTAACCAATCTCTTTGTGTAAGTTTATGTCTGTATTGTTGTGTGGTTTCTGTAGTCTGTAAAATAACGAAACCCTGAAAATTATCATCTGCATCACTTCCAGGTCTTGAAATTTTTTAAGATAAAAAAAATATTATATTTAACAGTGTGTTTGTGTGTGTGTGTGTGTGTGTGTGTGTGTTAGGGATCATTCGACTGCAGAGATGGGAGAGGGCAGCACTGCATGGGCTGAATCCCCCGCTGGAGATTAAAGACATTTTATTAAAGGAGAGCACTGACCCAGAGCACACACAGAAGTATTACAAACATACACTCACATATTCTCTCTCTCCCTTTTACACATGCAGATGCAATCAAAAACCAGCCGAAGCCTGTCACTATAACGCTCTTTTTCTTGCTCCATTTCAGTCTCTGGTGTGACTATCCCCTCTGAAAAACTGATGGAGAAAAGACAGAAAGATGAGAACAGAAGAAATACTTTTGTAGTGTTTTATATGTTCTACTATGTTTGCTTTGTTGTTTATTACACTACATTTTATTAAACATTTTATACAGAAAAGCTATTGTTGAGTCTCAGGTATTTATAAATCATGGTTTACTCTCTGTGGACATGCTCCATATGGATAACTATATCAATAACACATATCCTTATATGTTTTTATTTTTTTATTTAAAGGGGTCATATGATGTTGCTAAAAAGAACATTATTTTGTGTATGTGGTGTAATGAAATGTGTTTATGCGGTTTAAGGTTCAAAAAACACATTATTTTCCACATACTGTACATTATTGTTCCTCCTCTATGCCCCGCCTTTCTGAAACGCGTCGATTTTTACAAAGCTCATCGGTCTGAAAAGCGAGGTGTGCTCTGATTGGCCAGCTATCCAGTGCGTTGTGATTGGCCGAATACCTCAAGCGTGTGACTGAAATGTAACGCCCCTTACCATATTGTGATGATGCCCTGTCCGGCCGGAGCGATGATTCAAAAACATGAAAACCCATTATAAACGAGGCATTTGTTGCATCCAGTGGGGACATAATTATGGATTATAATGACTTATACTGTCTTTTTACGCGTTGCGTTGCATCGCGCCGCGTAAACATAAAACCATGTCTGCATTTGTGATCGGAGAAATGACAAACAAGCGCTACTCTACACTGCTCAAAACTCGTGTTTGAATCTCAGTGGCAAAT